AGCGGGGGGTCGTTCTAGAATACCTATAGAACAGGACAGACAGTAACTTGGTTGAATGATATCATATGCACATGTGATTTAAACCAGACGCCGTTGAGGAGTATGCACTCAATCCGTCGCGGGTGTACATATCGACCTTCGTGAGCGTACACTCTCGATGGCCGTCATCGAGAGTGTACACTCTCGATGGCCGAGGGGTATACTCTCGACGGCCGACGGGGAAACTACCTCAACCGCCGAGGAGTATACACCTCGGCCATCGAGAGCGTACACTCTCGATGGCCGGGAGTGTACCCTTGGCCGTTGAGAGTGTACACTCTCAATGGCCGAGGTGTATACTCTCGACGGCCGACGGCCGAGGGATATCACCTCGGCCTCTGAGAGCAGAATCTCGACGGCCGAGAGGATTCCTCTTGGCCATCGGTGTGTAATCTGAGCGGCCGGGAGGAATCCTCCCGGCCGCTTCTGTGGGGGTCTTTTGGTTCATCGACCCCCAAACCCTGGTTGGTTTTGGAGGATCGACTTCGACTCCTATACCAACCGGGGAATTTCTTCTTTTTTATTTATTTATTAGGGAGTCGACTCCCAAACCTGTCGAAGGTTTTGGGGGTTCGACTCCCATTTTTTGGGGATTCCGGGGCTTGGGAGTCGGCTCTCCATTTTTTGGGAGTCATTTAACCAAGCCCCTAATTATATTCCTGGAATCATCCGTCGAAATCCCAGGGAGAAGGTCCTCATGCACTGCCTGCAACAAGATTATTTGACTAGCCAATTGCCCAGCATTCCCCAAGGCAATGATCCTTGTTGGTTGCAAGGAAGTAGTTAGCTGCCATGGAAAGAGTGAAGTGTGCAAGCAGTGAACCAGACAACTTGAAACCAAGTTGGGATTTGACCTGGCAGGTTTATAGATCTGTGGCTGAATGGTAGAACCCAGCAAAGCAAACAATTGGCCTTTGGAGAGATTTTGAGGGAGACCTGAAAGGAATAGTAACTTATCAATGGCAATCTCTCTGACTTTTGTCACAATTGTAGGGGTTGGAGTTTATCTCCCCTCTTCTTCCTTGACAAAACTTGCCAAAAATGGAAGGCCATAACTGAAATGCCATCATGGTATTAATTTTGCCCTTGTCTGAGGTCAACCTGGGGGAACCTTTGAGTCAAAGGTACCAATATCATATATAGTTGCGAGCAGTGTTTTGGGATTGCAACTGGGTTCTGGTCTTGCACAGGGATTGCTGTACAGAGCGGTATTGAAATCTTCCACAGAGGAAGTAGTGTCTGTAACAATCACAATGAATCCATGCAAACATGGTATCTGGGATGAAAATTGCCAAAGAATTTGAAAATATGAGACCCTTGAGGGATTGGTTGCTTCCAGTTCTACAAGCGTCTGGGCTTCATCAATGACCAGGAATATCTTGAGGTGGGGGGGGCTGTTTGATGAGGCAGTTTATTTTGTGCAGCTTCTTCAGATTGGTTTGGAGTGTTGCAGAAGCTTCTGTCCTGTTCTGGGCAATTTATGTCAGTTTCTCACAAACTCTTCCCTGGATTTATCATCAAATTTGAACCATTCCAGTAGTCATTCATTCCTCTTTGCTATGCGGGGATAGTTTTCTGGAGAAGAATTGTGCTACCACGTTAAAAATAGCATCCAGGCGTAGTGAATATTCCACTTCTAATTCAGGTGCTTTCTTCTTGACAAGAATCATTGCATCCACAATCTTGGACCTGAGGGGTAGCCCATTCAAACCAAGTGTGCACAGGCAGAGATATACAACACATATGATTTTTGAAAGCTGTTTTAGTAATTTAGTCTTTCCAATCATACTTGGACCAATCAATGAGGCAAGTGGGGCAAAAAAAGCTGGAGGCAACTTTCCAGCAGCTTTCCTGAGGTGGTTGAGGATTGGAAGTGTAATGGTATCATGCAAGTTAGTGTGTTGGTAGCCAGTCTGGACAATCTTGATATCCTCAGGTTCAATTAGTATGGTAGTAAGAAATTCCTCTCCTGAAGCAACAGAACCTTTGAGGAGTGCCTCAAGCATCCACATCTCTGACACATCTTCTTGTTGAGACCAACAAAGATATTCATGGAAGAACACAAGCTTGTTAAGTTGCTACCTTCTTGCAACAGAGGGCCAGATGCTACAGCTAACATTGGCATCTAACACAAATTACAGACTGAATAATTCAGTTATCCAGATACATTAAAGCATCATGGATTGGAATTTTCTCTGTCTTGAAATTGGAAAGAACAAAAATTGTTTTAGTCAAGTAATTTATTTTTGATTATTGAATCTGTGACCAATTCTTCAGCTACCCAATTTCAAGAAAGAGAAAATGCAAATCCCTGGAACCCTTAAACTAGTATCAAATATTTCCATCCACTAGGATATCTCCAAAGAAACTGATACCAAGCTGCATTACAATTTACAAACTACAAACAGCAGATAAAACTGCTTTTAATTTTCCAAAGTACAAACTTTAGCAAGCCTGTTGAGGTATTCCTGAAATTTCCTCACTTCACATCTGATGAATGACACTGATCAGCTGATCATGCATGCAAGGAGAACAAATCATGATGAACAATTTGATTGTACAGTCTCCTCCCAGATGTTTATAGCCATCTGTTTTGAGCTCCACACCGGGAAACCAAAAACTTCAAGTCACAAGAGTTTGTGGAATGGTGGAAAATGGGTCTCCAAGATGAATATGAAAAAATAATAATAAAAAACAAGATTTTAAAATTTGTGAAAAAGATAAAAGAAAATCGACTTTTTTTGAAAACTTTAATTTTTTGTTTGAGTGAAAAGTGATCACACAGAGGGCCATTAGTTTGGAACATGACAAGAATGATTATAAATGAAAAATATTGATCCAAAAAAAGTTTGACCATGGTGGGTGGACACCTTGCAGTCAAAATTAGTAGATTGTGGTACCAGATTGCCACATTTCTTGATGAATGACCCCCTAGGCATGCTTCTTAAACCACCAAGTAGTCATTTTTTTTTTCCAAATTTTAACTTCTTATTATTCATTCCAGATCTATGACTTCTGAGATTTCATATCTTCCTGAAATAAATATTGGAGCTGTCAGTTTTTGTGATAATTTTCTCATTTTTATTTTTCACAAATTTTAAAATCTTGTTTTTTTTTTATTGTTGTTTTTTCATATTCATTCTTTGAGACCCATTTTACACCATTCCACAAACTCTTGTGACTTGGAGTTTTTGGGTTCCTGGTGTGGAGCTCAAAACAGATGGTCATAAACATCTGGGAGGAGTCTGTACAACATGAAGGGGGGCAGGAGTGCAAATTACATAAGCAGGGTATGTACATATATGCACTTCGAATAATTCGATCGCACACTGCTAACAGCACTCAACAACTTCCAACCACTCTCATCGATGGCCACCTCCTCCTACTCAGACCAGAAGATACCCATCCAACGGAAGAACACATCCCAATACTCGGAACACTCTCACTACCAAGTCGAGCCGGAGAAAAACCGGATCCTGCATCCTCATCCTCCGCCTCCTCCCCACTGGGAAGATAAAAGGAACGCGCATATTAATCATAGGGTCGCAAGTCATCCTACTCGTCCAATTCCTAGATATGAACCAGTTCAGTAGTGTCTGCTATACATATATATATTTTACTTTGATTCATTCTCTGAAAAAAAGCAAAAACTGACTTTTGATTTAATTTTTTGGAATTGAAGCCACTACTAATAGATGATCTCCGAGAACTAGTACCATTACTAATATACACGCTGCTATCCCTAGCGACTCGACTATACAAGATAGGGGGGATAGACACGGTAGTATGGGACGAAGCCCATTTCGGGAAATTCGGAGCGTATTATCTGAACCAGACCTTTTACTTTGATGTTCATCCACCCTTGGCGAAGATGATGGTAGGCTTGGCGGGTGTGTTGAGCGGATTCGACGGCACATACGATTTCCCTTCCGGCCAGGTTTACCCCAAACACGTCCCGTTCACATCTATGCGCATCCTACTCGCCCTTCCTGGCGTCGCTCTCGTCCCGATCGCCTGGGCTACTGCACTCGAATTGGGATTCTCTGAGTACTCGAGACATATCGTCACTATCATGGTCCTTTCTGGTTCGCCCATTTTACTTCTGAGTTTCACCTTTTATTTTTTTTTTTTTTCAAAAAAATGAAACCTCCTTTTTGCATCAGTTGCTCATCCTGTATCTTCTGTTTGGCTTTGTTGTTCAAAAAATACAAACAGACATCGCATTTACCGCCATCTCACGATTCATCCTTCTGGATTCAACCCTACTATTTTTCACCTTCATAACGGTGTACTGTTTGGCATGTTTCCACAACCAAAGAAGATAGTGAGGTTTGATTCTTGACTTTATCCTCTCACTCTGGACCAACAATTCCCTCAAAAAAACAACCAAATGAAAGAAAGAAGAAAGAAGAAGAAGAAAAGTTGAGGATGTAAATTTTATTAACATGAACTTGTTTGTTGTATATCTGTAGTCCGTTTGATTTTGAATGGTGGTTTTGGCTGGCCATGACAGGGCTCTCAATCGGCTGTGTAACAAGTGTGAAATGGATCGGCTTGTTTGTCACGGTCCTTGTTGGGGCCCACACAGCCGACGAACTTTGGGAGAAATTCGGCGACCTTAGGATGCCAATCGTGAGTCTTCTCTCTTCTTTTCAAATCACTCCTAAGAAAACACCCTTCTCCTTTGTCAATCCGCATTCTGACATTCGTTTTTCGGTTTTATTATCGCACAGAGGACCTATCTCAAACATTGGGCAGCTAGAATAGTCTGCTTGATAGTCTTGCCAATCCTAGTCTACATGTCATTTTTCAAGATCCATTTTATGAGCAAGTTCCCATCTCTTTCGTTTTTGCAGATCTACAATCACAGGGCTAATTAACCTGGTCTCTATCGTTCACAACAAAAAAGTCTTGAATAGGTCTGGTCCGGGAGACGCTCAGATGAGCTCATTATTCCAAGCCAATCTGGTTGGAAATGATTTCGCGCGTAGTCCACTTGGTTAGCTATTAAGTGCCTCTTTTATGACTTTTTTTTCTTATTACCTTAGCTGAACCAGTGACGTTAACTAAATTATAGAAATTGCAATTGGCTCACGGGTGACGATCAAAAATATGGGTTTTGGCGGTGGGCTACTACATTCACATGTTCAGACCTATCCGACAGGCTCCCAGCAACAACAAGTGACATGTTACCATTACCGTGATGTTGGTGGGACTGACACTGAGCTCGAGAGGGAAATAAATGATTCTGTTGACTGACTCGATTGTGTGCTGTACGTTACACAGATGAACAATGACTGGATGGTGACGCCTCTACTACATGAGCCGGCCTATAACGAGTCTCAGCCCATCAAGTTCTTGAAGCACGGGAGTGTGATCCGACTGGTCCATGTTCTGACGGGCAGGAACCTACACACACATACGATCCCAGCACCGATCACGACGCTTAATCACGAGGTGGCTGGTTACGGCAATGCGACGATTGACGATAGTAGCTCGTATTGGCTGATCGAAGTCGTCGACGACATGATTCGTGGCAAGAGGAAAAACTTCGAGAATATCAACATCCTCTCCACTCGCTTTCGAATCCGCAATCTCAACCTCGGCTGTTATTTGAGAGCCGCTAACGCCGTCTTGCCTCAATGGGGTTTCAAACAAGTCGAAGTATCTTGTGATAAACAAAACGATCCAAACGATCATCACACTTATTGGAACGTTGAAAGTCATATCAATCCTCGTCGTAAGTGAGTTTTTTTTTTCTCATTCCCTTTTGACGAATGGGTGATATGATAGGATCTGAATGTTTTATTTTTTTTATTGTTGCTCTGAATGATAATGATAGTTCCTGAAGGGGATATGAAACTGATGAGATCGCCCTTCTTGAAGGATTTCTGGCACTTGAATGTGGCGATGATGACGTCGAACAATGCGCTGATACCGGACCCGGACAAGGAAGATGCGACGGCGTCGACGCCGTTGGAGTGGCCATTCGTGTACACGGGCATGCGGATGAACGCCTGGATCGATAATGGGATCAAGTTCTATCTGATCGGCAATCCGCTCACCTGGTGGCTCTCTACCTCTGCCTTGGTCGTCTATTGCCTCTCCTTGGTCTGGTATCTTGGTAGGTACAAGAGACAAATTAATGATCTGTCGCCCATCGAATGGAGACGGTTCATCTATGGCGGCAAAGTCGCACTCGGTGGTTGGATCTTACATTACGGTTTGTCCACTCTTTTTTTCTTCCCCTCACCCGTTGGAACATATTTATCTTGCCAATTTTCAAGCCAATTTTCAAGCCACAAATGGGTCAAGCGCGACTGACTAAGTCGGTATAATGTTTTCTTGTTGTTTTTGGTTTAGCTCCATTCTTGTTTATGGGACGGGTGACTTATCTGCACCATTACTTCCCCGCACTATGGTTCTCGATCTTGATGTTCGGCTTGATCGTCGACCATTTCATCTTTAAAGCTAAGACGAGCAGGTTTATTCGCTTGACTAAGCTCAACAAAATCGCGATCTGCTCCACCCTTTGTGTTGCCATCATGCTCACCGGGATCTGGTTCAAAGATTGCGCTTGGGGAATCAGCGGTCCTATCCATCTTTATAAGTATCGTCAATGGAGAAAAGTCAGTCCCCCCCCCCATAATCATCGCTCTCTCTCTTTCTTCTTCGTTTCTGTCTACGGTTGATTTGGTTTTCTCATCCTTTGTCCTTCCCCCTCCTTTCATCTTACCCTCAGTCATGGAGTATTTATGACGACCATACGACCAAATGATCAACAAGCTATGAGTATATCTACGCAGAAACGTTTAAATATACTTCAAACAGTCACTCTCGAACATGTGTTCGAGACACATTGATCTATCCAGAAGAAAACCCGGTCAAACCTCCTCCTCCTTGACCATTTATTAAAATCTAGACCGTCGTCGTGGTTTTGGGTCCAGAATTGACTTTATTGACCCTACGAAGAATTGAAAAAAGTCACCTTGTATTACATACTCTTTATGATATATATACTACATACACATTTTAGAATAAACAACCAGAAGCAATGTTCAACAACATAACATAAGAGAACCTTGGGTTGAGTAAACAATACAATTGTGTAATACTGCTGCTACATAGTCCACTTTTACTTAATTACCATACCTAATTTGAAGAAAATGTGATGTAGCTGGTCGTTGATCATGAGTAAACCTTCCGGTGGATCAGGGTTTTCATTGGTCTACAGAAAGTATTGTGTACTGGGTGGGTTCTTCAAACTTGCGAGTCTGGATTCATGACTTGCTTGTGCGTAGACACGCCGTCATCATGCTCAAAGTTTTTCTTTTTTTTGAATACTGAAGATCAGTGAAAAGCTGTGTATTGTGTGTCGGAACAGCCTGAGGGCTCAGGAAGCGCTCCCTTTTGATCAGTTATTCGTGGAGGCAACCAGCAATCGAAGGAGAGCCCAGTCGAAGGCAATTGGTCTACATGCCTCGCATGACCTACTACTTGGGTACTTGGGATGTGTTCGTATGTGTGTGCGTCTCAGTAGGAAAAACGAGCTCAGGGGTGAGGATTATAGATTGCTTTGATCGGTGATGACTTCAGGCCAAACGGAAGAAATGGACACGCTTATGGGCTGATACATGGACCCAAAAAAAGAGAAAATATTTTAGGATTGAGTCCTAGCAAAGAAGACTTTCATGATGCGATAAGAAATAAAAAATGCCACCGAGTCGAAAGCAGGGTGGACTGAAAGGTGAAAGGAGGCGATGTGATCTGGGACTGAAAAGGGTACAAAAGCAAAAATGTCAGTGATCAGCTGGAAAGATATTTGGATGTGGATAGTAGACAATGCAAGAGATTTGTTGGGGAGGGGAGAAGAGCTCAGGTTAATAACGCAGGAAAGATTTTTTGTTCGTCAGTGGCACCGGCGTCATACAAGACTGATTGGTTCCATAAGATATCTCAAGTAGAAAATTCAAGTGTAACTATTCATCAAGGCTCTTTGCTGATCACTATGAGAATGAAGGTTGAACAGTCCTAGAAAATCTGGTACTTACCAAAGATGCCAGAAGACTCGTCGTGGTGGTCGATGGGACGGGCGTTGAGGGATACAGCATAGGTGGACACAGGTTTTTATATACGTGCTTGTGTCCATTGGGAACCGGCTGACTTGTGGGTATCATCGCGCGCCGGCACGCGAATTCCTTATGCATAATTTCATAAAGTTACTTTTGGCCAAGAACCGGCAACGGGTGGACTGAAAGCCTTACGAGGCCGATCAAGCCCCTCTCTGGCCCTGCCGGTCCGGCCTGGTCTTACCTTGGATCTGAAAAAGCCCTTGTTTGGTAAAAGATCTGACACTACATAGCTCTTTTCCTCCCTGTTCCTTGTATACGCACAGAGTTACACGGAGCCTTTTTCAGTTTTAAATGACTGTATGACATGCATCGGCGTTGTTTAACAGAGCTGTTGAAGCCAAGACTTTTGACCCTTGAGCGACCTTGGCTAAACTTGAAAGGAGAGTGGATGTTGTTGTATCATTTGGTCGGCGCTTCCATCCGGATAAACAGCATGACATAGTGGTAAAAATTTAAGATCAGGCACTCCTGGTACTTGTTTTATCATCTAGCAACCTTCACAAAATATCGCCCAAAACTGTCGAAGCAAACTTGAAAGTTGTAATCAAGCTGAATAATCTTGTCAGAAAGAATGCCATTGTCGTCGGTGAAATTTGCCTCAAGTGGACACCCGCAGTTACATAAAACATATCTCAGTGTAGGGATGTAGATTTCGAGTTTCTAGTCTTGACTTTGTAGAAGGACAAAGTTTTGAATCATGTAGAAGTTTCTAATTTATAAAGATACTTTATCCGCCTTGAGGGCCAGGATATAAGTACGAAATGCTGGCCCTGTTTCGGCATAGTACACAGCGGGACGGATCGAAGAAATCCCGACCGCCGTGCCGGCGCCCCGGCCGGAAGGGCGACCACATGACGCACCAGGGCGCCAGCGGGACCCAGGGTTGTACAGGCGCCCCGAGGCATGTCAGGGCGGCGCTCTGGGTCAGCATGGTGTCCCTGAGGCGTGATCGGGTCGACCCACAAGAGGCACGTCCCGGTGGCGATTGGGGGGGTCGACTCGGGGTCGACATGGCTGTGGGGTCGTCATCCTTGTGCCATGGGGATGACACCGACCGAGGCGCCATGAGACCAGGGTCGTCAGGGACGGTTTATGGTTGGGGCGGCGTCATCCTTGCGACCCGGGTCAAAGGTCGATCGTCTCCTTTTTGCCCTCTCGAATACCATCGGGAAGGATGGTTTTCACGTGGCACTTCCAAAAAAACTATTGCCAATTTTTTTTTTTTTTTTTTTTTTCTTGGACTTCGCTTTTTTTTTTTTTGGATCAGAGCTCTCTCAGGGGTGAAACCTGGCAGATAACTTCATAAATGACATTTTCTGACAAGTCGCACTGGCGGTCTGGTGAAGTTGACCATTCCGCCGGTGGGGGAGCCGATCCGAGTTCCGACACAAGTTCGAACCTCGCATGAGCGATCTTTTTTTCAGTGCTACATAACCAGTCGGTGGGCCAGAACCGGCGCCCCCATTCCCGTGTTGGCTACATCCCGCCCTCGACTTTAGGGCGAATCCCCTGGGCGCCATCAAGGGCATGCTCCAACACATGTCCCCATGGCGACCCTGGCCTGGTGGGCTGTAGAGGCGCCATGGGCGGCGCCCGGCTGGCGACCAATTAGTCCCGGGGTGTACTGTCAGGTATCTGAGATTCCAATATTCCTCTTCAACAAGATGTTTTTCCAATCTCTTTTTTTCAGCTTACTTTCAAGTTCAGTGGTCACTTGTGCGTTTACTGACCAATCAGTGAAAACTGGACTGACAAGAAGTGAAGGTACCAGAGGTAGATAAAATAGTTCATCTCATAAAAACATGATTGATGATTGTTATTCGTGCTCTCATGATGCTGCTCTTTTCATTTGTCTGCCCTTGTGCCTCTATGATAAACATCAACAGCACTTCCCCTCCTCCCATTGGATCACAAATTAGCTGGTAAACGGAAAGCAGAACTGTTGGAAATAGACCATATGAATGTTTCCAAAGACAGAGTACCTCAATTGTATGGCGAAAAAGGGACCAAGCGTAAGAAAGTGACAAGTGAACGAGGTTGGTCTATTATTTAACTCCCAGATTCTTCCAATAATACATGAAATGGGAAGACTGATGATGACACCTGTTCTTATAGTTTTGAATATGAAGAGAAACTGGAAAGAAAACAAAGGTAAGTGTATTGTTGGTTTTTCATTTAGTTTGTTTTCACTCTGAGAAGCCAACATTTTGTTTTCTGTGAATACAGAAAAATGGGAACTTCTGGGTGAAGATTCACAAGCTCTGAAGGACCTTTATCACAAAGTCCAATCCAAAAACTTGGAGTCAAAACAGAAATACAGATCAAAAAACATTGAAAATGAGATGGAATTCATTAACAAATGCCAACAGAATATGGAAGTGTTTCAACAATTGAAGCTCTTAAGAATAGGAGAATTTGTTCCATACTTCTCAAATGCAAAGCTCATGAAGTTATCCCTTTCAGATCATCCAGAGAATCATGAAATTCCGAAATTCATTCTAGATCTGCCTGGAGAACTATCTTCAGAGATTACAGACACAGCATGGAAACAACATGCACAGTTGCTTGTGAAGGAAATCAAAAAACATATTGATTACCAAGTTGATGCTTACTTTTTATTGTTTCAACCAATGAATAAAAGCTTATTACCATCTAAAGCAAATAACTTATATTTTCTCAAAATAATTGATTTTATGTTCAAAAATGACTTCATCAATGAAGAAGCTATAAGATCTCTTTTGAAGGAAGATGAATTTCTCTGGCTAGCAAGTCTTTATAATGTTTGGTCTCTCAAAAATGAACAGCAAATCTATCACTCAAGTTTCATTTCCATCACTGAAGATTGGTCCTGGAAAAAAGGTTTTCATTTTTTTTCAGGTGAGTTACACATATATAAGCTCTTGGTTTACTTTAAAAAAATTTCAAAAAAAACTCAATGTCTTTTCTCATCCTCCTTCTTTTTTATTGCTGAAAAACCAAACAATTATGAATAAAATAGTACTCAGTAAAGGCGAAAAATTGCGGATAAGTTTTGTGTTAATGGTAGAAGAGTTAATTTTCAGAGGCACAGATAACTACATGTTTTTCCAGAATAAAGCCTGGAAAGTATTCCAAGATTCATTTTCAAGACAGATATACAATCAAAAGTTGAAATTTATTGATGAATCAAAGTCAACGCACACCCAACATGGGAATGATAATGCATTGGATGAAGATTTTGATGATTTAGAGGAAATGATTAGAGTTGATGTTAGAAATATAATGATCTTTCTATTGACAATATCTGGTGAAGATGTGGACAAGCGGTTACATTTGGGGAATGGATTTTTGTCTGGAATAATTTGTGAATTCTTGGATTTTGTTGAAAGAAATATTTGTCCAGGGATTCTCATTGGAACCAAAAATCATATATTGGAGGCATCACTATTATGGCAAACACCACAATCATTAGAGAAATTGCAAGCACTCGAAGAGCTATTGAGTAATACAGATTGTTTTGAGGATTGGTTTAATCTGATCCTGAAGTCTTCAAGAATTCTACACACAATTACTTCAGTTAATCAGTTTGAAATCTTTTTGAATTCTGGCAAGAAAATTTTAACAAGTCAAGAAGCACTTGAGATGAAATTGGCACATGAAGATGTTGAAAATAAGATTTCAAATCTATATTTGGAAAATGATAAGACATATTTCAACTTTTTGGAACTTTATAATGAAATTTATGAAATCGTGAACCCATCTTACATGATGCGCGAGGCTTTATTTGAAGGTTATAATAGGAGAGTGAAAAGGAATGAAACTCAAAAATTAATTTATGCAGCTTTGGATCAAAGAACACTTAAAAGTGAATCAGATAGGAATGGAGTGAATTGATGATTTCAATCAACTTCTTCAAGATAATGTTTTCAAAACTGAATTTGATATCACAAAACTACTTCTTACAAGGTTTTTTTTATTTTTAAATTGAGGGTGTTTTTGTATTTTCTCCCATTTCTAATGAGGGGTCAAAACTTTAAATTTTTCAAAAATTTAAATTTACAAAACTTGAGAGCTTGTTTCATGGTGTTGAGCATCAAAATTTTGACAAATGAACAGACTTTTTTGATTGTTCATTGTTCAGAAACCCCATACAATCTCCAGCTTTTAAATCACCTAAGATTTTTTTGATACAGGACTTGAAATTTTTACTAAATTTGAATCCAATTTCATGATTATTTTGCTTTATTTGATCCACATAAGTCCAACCTTACATGAGCAAATGAGCCCACACTAATACTATCATATCCACTGAATATGTCAGATCCACAGTGGTTAAAAAGAAAGAAATGCATGAATTCAAATTCATCATATTTGTGTATGCCTTCTAGGATTAGTGAAGTGGTGATGTATAAAGTAATTGCAAAAATGAGCTTATCAGTCAAAGCAGAGCAAAGGAAGAACATTGCCCTAATTCTGTTGAAAATTAACATCAGGACTGCTTTTGAGTAATTTACAAAATTCTGGGTGTCTCTTTTTCTAGGAAGATGAGAGAAGAACAGGCACAGCTTAATCTTCAAGCTTCTTGTGGGCAAGCTTTTCAAATTTCCATTTCTGGACTGAAGTCTGATGGGAGTGATACCAACAAGTGGTGGCTGTGTTTATGCAATTCCATATGCATGCGATGACGAGTACAGGTGACATCACCGTATGCGCCATCTACCCAGGAGGGCTCGGACTTGTCCCCAACAACTTCGAATCCTCGCTTCCAAGACAATGTCGACGTTAAAATTCCCAGCAGAAGAAAAGGCAAAGGTTGACAAGGTCGGTGGCATGTACTATCTTTTTTTAATGTGTTGCTAACCCTGGTGTTTTCTTTGTTTGTTCCGGAAAACCATATGTAACAGTTCGTCACTCAGTCGCCTAACTCAAGTCAGTCGCTCCCTCCAGCCATCGTACCTCGTTATGTTTGCTAAAAGTCCATCAAAAAAACTTCAGTGTATCTGTTTGATGCTCCTCATCGAGGTGCCAAGATCGCCGAACTATGTAGAAGCTCAGGTCCACCCGGCAGCAATCGCAAAAATGACTGTATCTCTGTCGCGATAGAAAGCCGGCATTTGTTTGAATACATGCAGAAACTTGGGTTGGTTTCATCTTTCAAACCTTGTCCCGACCGATTCAAATAAACATTCATATTCAGTCTCGATGGTTTTGCTAATGCTTTCCTTCTCTGGGTAGGTTTTTCTGTCAACTGCCATTTGATCCATCAAGGACTGAAATCGGTAAGCCACGGGTTTTTGCATCCCTTCTCTGAGGCCTCCATTTTTATTTCGAAAAGAAAATCGCAATCAACACATTGAACAATTTTGAAATCTGCTTGAATAGAATGCCGAAGAATAGAATTGGTCACTGGCATGCCTCTTGACCCAAACCCAACGCCTTGATACTCAACACTCGAATGTATTTCTTGATCTACATCCAATCCCAGTACTTTAATTGACACGAGGTTTGAAACCATGATTGGATTCATCAAATCCGACTTGTCCATATATGAAAAGATTCAGTTGTCTCATGATACCAACATACACTACACGCGTTACACTTTAGTCGAGTCAAAAGATCAGCTCTGGGTAATAGCTCCTCTTGGCTTACAATGAACTTCATTCTAATCGTTTGAGATTTCTATATGATGAAAGCTGGTGTCATGGACAAGCCGGTCATAATAAGGATACATTTTAAAAACCTGTAGCATTCGACTTGACCAATATCATCTCTTTAAGCATATCAACATTTGCCTACCTGCTGTGACCATGAAGACTTTGGTCTCTTCACGTCAGTCTTTCCGGATTGGAGCGCACAAGTAATCAATTTGCTCACATTCAATCAAAAAAAGCAAAAATAAAAACTGAAAAAAAAACCTTGGCAGAAAGGAGGGGAGTGCATCAGATTCAGAGATGAGTGATTCATCATTCTTGGATGTGTAGACTTCCAGTTTTCCTTTGGTTGTTTGAATCCTAAATCATTCAAACAGTTGGAATGGCAGTCTTTTAGCACTATCAGAATTAGGACCAGGGTTTTCCTTTTCCAATTAATATGATTTAATGCTTACACTGTAAAGGGGATTGATTGTGTGACAATGTTGTCAAGACACAAGGCCAACATATCGAGGGGTGATCTTTTGGATTTGGTTTCAGTTGTCTATTTTTTGACCAAATTTATAGCAAATTTTACTTTATGCAAGGAGCTGACTGGATCCAGTTTGAATGAGGAAACTCCATTTGAATCCAATTTGATTGTCACTATGTACAAGGTGGCCAATGTTTTATCCAGTAGGTTGGAAGATCTATTGCACTTGATTGAATCAAATCTTGCCAGCTGATACTGGTAGATAAAGCCAGGTCAGTGATGGAATTTTAGGCTGAGAACAGGGAAATGGGGAGAGGATTGGCCAGAGCAACAAACTCAAGATTCTAAGTACCTCAAAAGAGGCTTAAGCTGCTAGCTTGCATGGCGGAAAAGTGCTCACGCTACAAGTGATTGTTACATTGTATATCTTAGAGAACTCAGGGAAATGTGTGCAGAAAGCAGATGATTTCATTTTCTAACTCATCAGTATGACTATTTATCTTCATACAAATGTGGGCTGAGTTGTGGGACAGAAGGTGAAAGGAATGAATATTCATCTGGAACTGAAACATGAGTGACCAGTTGAGAAAGCAGTGACATTGGGATGAAAGAGAGGAAAGAGAGCTGAGAGAGATGACAGAACTCCAACGGTCAGCAATACTGAATTTCATAATTTTTCTCCTGGGATAGGTAAGCTGCTTCACGTGACCAGTACTGCTTCCCTGAAACAGGAAAACCAAGATGTCTGTTTCACACATCATCAACTGAACCAGCATACACAAGGTGCAGAAGAAGGGATCTCTTGTGCCACAGAGTGCACAGTCATGTCAGATATCATAGCAGACATTGACAAGTCAGAAACAGTCAAGTCTACATGACTTGAAGGCGTTTAGCTGTCATGAGAATGACAGCTCTGTGATTGTGACACCCTTACCACACTCACTAGTCACTGTAAATGTGCTCTGCACTGGCCCATTGCGTGGAAAGGATACAGTGGGCATCCAACATTACTGCATTTTTTGCCTCTGAACCCTGAAAAGTGTCATTTTTGAAATCTTTGGACATTTTAGGTTCTTTGCCTTATCTGGATTTTGCAATTGGACCAGCTTTTTTCTATTTTTTCTCTTTTTCAGGTTATTATTTGTGACACATGCTATCATGCCTGGCTCTAAGCCCCTTATTTGCCTGAAATGTATAAGTATGAAAATGTAGAAAAAAATTGGTACATATACATCTACTCTATGGAGACATCCAACTTTAAAATTATATATAGGTTCAACACATTCAGGATAGTGTATTTACATTACCTGTCACATATGAATGAAACCTTTTGTGCATGGGGGATCACTTATTGTTCAGAATTCCAATGGGTTCATATGTTCAGGAAAAAAAAAGATTACTAGAAAATTGAGCTCATTATAGCCAAGCAAGGATCTCAATGACAATCACCTTCTGTATCATGAACTCACAAATTTCTATTTTCTTCATTGCTTTTTTTGTGTTATGTGGCAGTCTTATTCCACTTTCCAGAGGCATGTATAATCAAGGAATAGGAAAATGTGCAGTGGAGGGGTGCATGTTAGACCCCAAACCAGTAGAATCTGTCGGGAATATAGGTAGCATAGCAGCAATAAACAAATTTGGGCAGAACCAGTGGGGTGTAAATGAACAGAAGAGTAGTGAAGTAGAATTGGTATTATCACAACAAGGTAAATGGTTGAATAATTCATTTATTTTTGTAGGTTCTTTTGTGTGCACCTGGAACTGATATTACTGTAGCCACAGGGAACATTGATGGAACCGTGGGATTTAAAAATGCCAAAGTTAACCAGCTGATCAGATCTCTCAAATTTTGTGGGAAAAAGGGATTAAAAAGTTTTGCTGATCATCTAGAGCAATTGCATGATTATCTTAAAACACCAATTGAAGAGAATGAAGATGTTGATACAATAGGCCCAATGATTGAGCTTAAACCCTTTTCTGAAGATCCAGTCCCTCACTTTCTGCTTCCCAGGGCAGGGAAAGCACAATTGGATTTTGGGGTGAAAAGGATTATTACAACAGAAGTAGTTCCAATTTGGGAACATCTCCAAGCACAGTTCATCAATTGCAAATGCAAAAACCTATCCAATCCAAAGACCAAATTGAAATTTTTGAAATCATTGTTTCTATTTGCAGATTATATTCATACAAACCAATTGCTACCTCAAACAAAGTTAGAGAAGATAGAAATCTTCAAGCCAACAAGTATTGTGATGTTATTTAGATTTCATGTTGATCTTTTGATAGCCAGCAAGGGAAAGCAACTCTTCAACAGTCCTGAGTGGGTGACCCCTCAAATGAACCTTCTATTATCTAACCGTTCTTTGAAACACTTCCATAGATCTATCAAAAGTGAGCTTTGAAATTTGGGATTGGTCTCCAATTCTTTTTTCCCATGACTCTCTTGCAAATTCATGTCACATTTGTATCAATCGCTCAACCTCTTTTCCCTTTTACTCAAACACGTTGAACTAATGACTGGTTTCATTTCAGACCTTCCAGATGAACAAAAAAAATCTCTTCAATACCTCACTCTGAGAAGCATATTAGAAAATTATGAATTGCTATGCCCCATTGGAAGTGGAATCAATCCACAGGTTCAGTGGACATGCAAAGTATATTCTAAAACCAATTTTCTCAAAAATGAAGGGAAATTTAAGCTCAAGTCACACCGTGAAATGTTTGAAAGCATAAGTGATGAATTTGATTCCGCATTGAGGTCAACCATTGCCTCTCTTGATTCTCAAGCTGAATTAACTGAAGGGCCTGAAAAGGAAATCCAGATGTTTCAGATTTCAATATCATACTCTGTTTTAAATTTTATGGAGGTTTATGGTATATATATTCTAAAAAAATGTCTGACCATCCCATCCCATATTGATTACAGAGTTTTCTCTCTAAAACTGGAATGGATAGGCTCTCTGCTCAAACTGCATCAAAATGACTCTCAAGACCCAAACCAAAAATCAATTCTTAAAAATCTCAAGAGAGAAGCTTTCAGATTGGTAAAGGAAGATTCTGTAGCAGAGTGGATTCATTCATTTTCTCATTTATATCATAAGTAACAATTAAGATTAGAGATTTTCCAAAAACAGTCTTCCTTTTTTGGGTGTAATCTTCTGCATTACTTGGTTTGGCAATTTGATGGTATTTTATCCTATCTTTCTATCCATCATTTCAATCTCCATCATGCATCTGGACCCTGGAAAACTTTTGGGTGGATGGGTGTTGAAAAATGTGATATACATGAAATGTGATTTTGCTTACAAAATCATACTCTTGAAGCATGTATCAATTGGCAATTTGCTGCTCATGAAAACGTCCCATCTTGGATATTAAAAACTGACCATCAAAACTAGCAAAACATGATTTTGACTCCATTTCCCCAAATTTACATTTTTGGCACCGACTGATATATAAGCCTTCCTAGTTGGCTCCAGAGCTTGAATGTGTTCTTCACTGCATTTTGGATAGGAGACCCATGGGAGCAAACTTGGAAGTTGGAGTCTGATTTGAGATATCCCAGAACCAATTTTTGTTGTTTAGGTCAATTATCTTCTCTATGTTGATGGTTTCAACTTTTTATTCAGATGCAACTTGCGGCCGGGTTCCTGAAAGCAACCTTCCTCTCTTGAAGTTTTGGTCTCCAGAGTCCTAGTCACGAGCCGCTGCATTGGGCAATGAGGTACATACTTGCTAAACTTAATACCCCTCGCAAGTCGGCAATGTCAGCCTTAGAGCCAGCCAAGCTGGCCAAAAGACTGCTTAAGTCCTCCTTTTTTCATTCAAGTCCTTACTGTAACTTTTTCATCTTAATCTTTTATTGCATTCTGACTTCAGAAATGAATTCCTCTGTTAATTTTAACCTTAGTCTCCCCTACACACTTTTACACTACTCCTCTCCTTCACAGACTTTGTAATATTTCACCGTACCATTGTGAAATATCTACCAAGTTGGAATTCCAACTCTCTACCACATGTACATGTTGCGATTATGTAATCCAACTCTGAAAATTCTCTCAGTAGACACTGAGTTCGCATTTTCAGGATCTTCAAGCTTCAGACCCACCCAGAACCAACTCAGACCAGAAACCCAGCACACCTCAACTTGGATTCACCGCCGTATCATCGCCGTGTTATCGTTTGGAGTCCTTTACTCTTTGGAATCTTCCCACTCTCAGTGTCAGGATCACCAAATAGTAAGTCATTCCTTCAAGTTCAGCTTGCATCTTTCTGCTAAGTTCCTTCTCTGTCTCTCTGAATGATCACATCATTCCTTTTCTACTAAACCTCTGCCTCAAACATCATCTTATCAAATCAAGTCATCTTAATTCTCTGTTTGGTGGTATAACTAAAAACCACATAGGTTTCCCTTTAAAGACCCTTGATCTTAGATCTAAAAAATAGTGGCCGGATTGATTTATCAATACCAGGAACCCTTCTCAGTTTCAGTTGAGTTAGGAGGCGTAGATTTATTCCGCTATAGAACAGCCATCCTTCCACAGGAAAGTAAGACTGCAGTAAACCTTGATTATAAAACAAATAAACAATAAAAAAATATTATTCATTTCTTTTTCATTTTCTTTCTCTCTCTTCTCCCTTTCTCTTATTCTAGTTGTATTTCTCTATCTCCTTGAAATACATCTAGAATTGCCCCCCCATCCTTGTGTCCTGCTGTCACTTTTGAGACCCAGGCTCACAATTGGGGGCCTCATCGGGAAATATATATTCCTTTTAGACCTCTAATAATCATACTTTCTAACTCTAATCTTCATTATCAGGCCTCTTAAAATTATAAAAAAAAAAAAAAAAAAAAACTCTTAACGCTTCATCTATCCTTTTTAAAAAAAAAAAAAGAATATAAAAATATATAAACAAAAACTATAGATAATTTCAATTTTTCAATTTTTCAAAACATAATTCTCTAAATTCCATCGCGAAGCGCTCGCAAAAAATTTCAAATTCCCATCGCGGAGCGCTCGCCAAAAACCTCCCTTTTCTATACAATCCACAACCTTTCTCAAGTACTCGTTTTTCTTTCTACGATTCATAAAAAAAAAAAAAAAAAAAAAACCGATCGATCGTTTCTGATTTTTTCTCTCATTATCCTTTTTTTCGAAATCCGAAATATCTTGTCGAAACCGCGAAGTGAAGATTAGCAGGAGCGTTATACCCGACTCGCCTCAAAAATCTCCTCACCCTTCCTCGGACTTGTCGTCGATTCCGTCTGACGTGGAAGCCGATTTGGATCTCCTTGAGAAGCAGAAGCTAGCTCGACCCAGAGAAGGAAACCTTGTATCGTCGGTCGAGTGGACTCCCATCGCCACTACTCGTGTCTCTGAAGGAAAAAACCGAAAGAAAACAAAGAAACGAGCAGCAGATAACGAAGAACCGACTCGTTTCCCTGTGTGGACTCCCTCGTACACTCCTCCCGATTCCGGAAAGAAACAACCGAAAAGAAACAAGAATAAAAAGAAAAAGCAAAGTACTTCCTTTTCTATTATTTCACCTTCCATCGACTCTGTTTTCTATTGATCGGCTCCTAACAAATTCTAACGCGCCTTGTTGATCGCACCCCAACAGTAACTCCCTCAACCGCTCCTTCTGATAAGAAAAAAACGAAAGGGTGTTCTAAAGAGCAAATACCTAAAGGTACCGCCTTTTCATCTCTTTTCTTCCTTTTCCAAGCTTCACCCTATAACTCTTTGTACCTACCAATCGAACGCTACCTCTACACAGAACAGAAATTAACTCAAACACATCCTCCTTTTTCTCTACCTTTCCTCCTTGTCGCGATGGGCGCCCATTTAAGAAATGGACGTAACATCTCTGTTGAGCAACAACAGCGTAACGAGACCAATAGACGAGCCCAGTCTAGACTCGAACAACCTAGAAGCGAGACCAAACGAGACGAGCAGGCTCAGCGAGAGACCGACCAACCGCTCGACGCCGGAGCTAGAGACAGACCTGCTGGACTACAGCGAGGCGATGACTCACGATACCGGCTTAGTGCCGCAGGAACGGAACGACTTCGCAAGCTTAAGCTCCAGTCTGCCTCCGATCAACATAACCGGCACGAGAGGACCAGCGGTGGGAGCGCAGCAATCGGAATTAGGCGTCTCTCCAGCCCTCATCAATTCGCGAGCAACCTCACTAGCATTGGAGACAATGTCCAACCGGTCCACCCCAGTACCACGCCCGGTAGAACGCCAGAATTTTGCGATCCCTACGAATACCGCGACAGGGTTTCAGATTCAATCTCCGACCCCTCGTCAACCAAATCCGACCCCTATCCCAGCGATGGATCAATACCAGGCCCCGGATGGCCAGGAAGACATCATAGTGGACAACGAGCAACTAGAGACGATCATCAACTTATTCAACGATCAGTGGCTTATGTTCGTCCAAGCGAGAGAGCATCAGAACGTCCCAATGATGCGATTTGCGCTCCAACAAGCTATTGGCAGTCAAGAGGTAATCCGCAATCTAGCTGGAGGAGAAGAGATGCTGAGGATTTGCGAGAACTGGATCGCCCGGGAGGAGTTAGCGGACTTGGAGAGAGCGGAACGAATCAACCCAACCCCTCAAGTTCAGAGATTAGCAATAACCCAACGAGCTCATTCGCATACCGTCAGCCCCTCCCCTGCGCCGTTACCTTTAGCACGCCAGACCTCAGAAATCACGTACCTGGGTCGTGGCCAACAACCAGTGCAAGACCAACCACCAACCCAGAGACCGCAGACGGCTTTAAGCCAACATTCGGCTCGAAGCAACCAATTGCCTCCACCCCCGCCACCGTCTACTCAACCCCCACCAGCTTCAGCATATTACAATCAGCGTCCGCAAAGGCAAGCACAACACCACCCGTACCATCGTCAGGGTGGCCCCCAGCACCAACAACAGTACCCCCAGCAACTAGTTCAGAACTACGACCAACACCATCAAGTGCAAGTGGCCCAGACACACGAGCGGCAGCAAGGACAGTTCCACCCCCCCCAACAAGGAGATTGGAGAGGATACGAGAGGAACTGGAGGACTCCCCGAAATCGGACGGCAAGATTGCTAGAAGTGGGAGATTATCTGATGAGGGCGGAGAGAGTAGCGGGAAGAGTTTTCCGCTTTCGTGGGAGGGGAAGAGGAAGGAATCAAGCCCAACGACAAGGTTACCAACAACAAGAACCACACCCCTAGATTCCCCTCATAGCTTCAACTTAGATGACTTGTCTGTTCAGTCTAGCAAAGAATTCTTTCTTCAATATATCAATCATGATCTGTCCAGAGATGTTCCCTTGCTAATTGAAGATAGATTAAAGGATTTGTTTTCAAATTTTCTCTCTGACCTTTCCGGAACAGTAGACTCTATTCCCAGTACTCTGTTAGAATCTTGTCTAAAAAATTTCAATTTATCTATGAAAAATTCCATTTCCAAGCTAATAAAAGATGAAATTGTCCCTTCTTTAATTGATAAAGTAATTGATAACCTGAGTGAAAAAGTGAGCAAAGAACCAAGTAATCACCACTGTCCAAGCTATGTGGAAGAAATGAAGCTGTACATTGATAAAAAACTGGAGGACATCCAAGATATTCTGTTTGTTAGGGACACAGAAGGTGTTTCCAAATTTGAAGAAATCAAAAAAGAGATGAGATCTTCTGAGGAAAGAACTGCAAATAATTTTCAATATATCTCTACTCAGATCAGTGAGCTTGATATAAGTGAAAACAACAGATTTGAGCAACTAAAGAGAAGAATGGGAGACGTGTGCCAAACCACGTATGGTATTAATAACAAACTTGAGTCCATCATAGAGCCAGTAGATAGAGATCCTCCCCCCCACCTGAAATTTAACAATCCTCTTTTGAATATTCCATCTGAAGCAGCTCCCCAACTTCCCCTTCAAGACCTTGAAGCAAACTGCCAACAATCAAAGAATTTCCAGACCTTTATAGCCCCCACAGTGAATAATAAAGAAGAAGATGATCCTGCTAAGATCAACCCCACAAAAGGAAACCCCATTCCAATTTGGGTTGAAGAATTCCCCTTTATTGACCATGGAGAAATTAGTTCAGATGTGAGAAATCAACTATGGAAAGGCATCCCCAAGACAAGTGAATGGGAAACATTCTCCGGAGAACTCCCCTACAACCATGAACTATGGTTGAAAAATATTGACGTCTTTGTTCAAGATTACCTGATGACAGACGACATGGTAATAAGTAGACTGACTGCCTTGTTCACTGATACGGCAAAGAATTGGTACATTGGGATAAGAGACACACATGGGAGAAAGTCATGGTCCTGGTGGAAGCACACCATTAGAAATAAGTTTGGTACTCATAATTGGAAATGGAAGATGAGGATGGAATTCGAGAAAGACTATTTCTCAGTAGATAATAGAAAGGTCCACAAATGGTTCAGCACCCAGAGAGAAAGACTTAGAGCTTACCAACCTGAACTGAGTGAACCTCTAGTCTGTGAAAAAATCTTGAAACAATGCCCTGGTTCCTTAGAGCACGCAGTGAAAAGCAGGTGTAATAGAGCTGCAGAAGATATGAACTTTGAGGAAATGGTCATAATCATTGAAGAAATCCTTGACAGAGCTATGGGACAGTATAAAACAAAGTACAACAATAACCCACCAACTAACAGGAATTCTTGGAGGAACAACAACCAAAATACCAAAGTTGAAACCAGCAAGATTGACCCTGACTCTAAAAGACCCCCTCCAACTAATCCTCAGGCTACAAAAGGGAAAGATGTTTGCCATTTCTGCAAACAACCAGGCCATTATACCAGAGAGTGCCCAAAAAAGAAGAACAGAATCAACAATGTGGGGTTAAATTCTGATGAAGAAGACAAAGAACAGCCTGAAAATTGTGAGTTTGACTCTGGCAGCCAATATGACAAGGAAGAGGAAGCTCAAAATGACAACCACATGATCCTAGCCTTGGACAATGACGGTACGTCAGACCCTTTAATTGATTTCAATTTTGACGAATGTGCTGTAGAATGTGAAATTACCAATGACTTTTCTATTGCTGAAATCCAAGCTGAATCCCATCAACCTCAGACTTGGGACAAGAATTGCAGGACTTCCCATGTGGAAGATGCTAGACTTATGAGGTGTAAACCAGATAAAGGGAAAGCCCATTTGATAGGTAAATCAAACCTCACTAGCGTCCTGATCAATGGTGACGAATTTTCTTGCCTACTAGATAGTGGTGCCTCTTGCTCCATAATCAGCCACTCCCTTTTAGAATACATCCTCCCCCAATGGAGAGATAATTTGATGCCAATTAACCATGCCAGATTCCATAGCTGTAGTGATCAATTACAACCTCTAGGAATAGTAGAACTTCCTTTAATTTTTCCTCATACGAAAGGCTCAGTCAGAATTAAAGCTGAATTCGTAGTCATGAAAAATGCAAGAATAAACTATCTTATACTAGGTAATGACTATATGTCCCTCTATGGTTTTGATATTACCAATAGTAAGGAGAGATTCTTTACCATCGGAAATGATAACAAAAGAAAGAAGTTCAGCTTCAAGATTCACTCCAGTGATAAGATGCCCCCCTCCACTGAAATCTCACTAGTCAAGAAATTAGACCCATTACTGAGCAAATTCATTGCTGAAGAACTGTCAGATTGCAAGATTTATGAGAAACTGACTGTAGAACAAAAGGAGAAATTGTTTGAAGTGCTTTACCAGAACAATCTTGCCTTTGCTAATACAGATCAACCTTTGGGAGCCATCAGAGGGCATGAAGTCCACTTGACACTCACCACAGAGAGGCCCTACCCTCCTCTTCTTAGAAAGGCCCCTTACCCTGCTAGCCCCAAAAGCAGAGAAGCCCTAGAAGAACATATAGAAGAACTAGTGAGACTAAATGTTTTGAGAAAGGTTGGCCACAATGAGGTAGTAGAAATCACAACACCTGTGATTATTGCATGGCATAATGGTAAGTCCAGAATGGTAGGTGACTTCAGGTCATTAAACTCTTACACAGCAGCAGACAGGTACCCCATACCCAAGATCAGTGAGACCCTAAATAACCTTGCCAAAGCCAAGTTTTTGACTAGCATGGATGTCCTGAAAGGTTTCCACCAGAATGTGATAGCAGAAGATTCTAGACACCTCTTAAGAATTATCCTACATAAAGGCATTTATGAATACCTAAGAATGCCTTTTGGTATCAAGAATGCCCCGTCACACTTCCAGCGGATGATGGACATTGAATTCAGAAAAGAGCTTGATGAGAAATGGGTAATAATATATATTGACGATATCATCATTATGTCCAACACTTGGGAAGAGCATCTGATTAGAATCAGCAGAATCCTAAAAATAGTGATCAAGATGAATATGAAGATTTCCCTAAAGAAATGCAATTTTGGGTTCCATCAAATCAAAGCTTTAGGACACGTAGTCTCTGGAATAGCAATTGGAATAGATCAAAATAAAGTTGCAGCTGTCCTCCAAAAGCCTGTTCCCAGTAACAAGAAAGAAGTTCAATCTTTCTTGGGTTTTGCTGGATATTACAGACAGCACATTAAAGATTTTGCTGACATTGCAAGACCACTTACTGAATTGACAAAGATGGAAATGGTATTTGAGATGACCCACCAAAGACTTGTTGCCTATAACCTTCTGAAAGAGAAGTTAACCTCTGCTCCTCTACTGCTTTTTCCAGACTGGAAATACCCTTTCATACTATATGTAGACGCAAGTATGACGGGCCTTGGAGCAGCACTCCACCAAGTCCAGACAATCAATAAAATCAAGAGAGAAGGACCTATTGTTTTCATTTCTAGACAACTTAAAGACAGTGAGACTAGATACGGTGCTAGCCAGCTAGAATGTTTGTGCCTAGTATGGGCTGTAGAAAAACTACACTACTACTTAGACGGAAGTGTCTTTGAAGTTGTGACAGACTGCACTGCATTAAGATCATTGATGAATATGAAAACTCCCAACAGGCATATGTTGAGGTGGCAAATTGCAATCCAAGAGTACAGAGCAAATATGAGCATCAAACATAGAGATGGAAATATCCACAAGAATGCAGATGGACTGAGTAGATGGGCTTTACCAAACGACCCAAGCAACCCTGCGTATGACCCTGAGGATAAAGATGATGACAGATTTCCTATCATGGGTATCCACGTATCTGATTTCAAGGATGAATTCTTTGAAACAGTCAGGGAAGGTTACCAAAAGGATAACAACACTGTCATCCTTTCCCAAATACTCATGAAAAATTGCAAGGATACCCAACTGAAAAACTCCCTGCAAGAACCATGGAAGACATCATATGCTGAAGGCAGGTTTTCTCTGTTTGATGGCCTTCTATACCACAGAGAGAAACACAATTCTGTTTTAGTTTTAGCGGACAAAGAAAGCATCAATACCATTCTGTATGAATGCCACGATAGTGTTTCCTCTGGCCATTTCTCTGAAGACAGAACATTAGAGAAAGTAGAAGACACTGCATGGTGGTGTAACTGGAAGAAGGACACAGTTGAATACTGCGCTTCTTGTGATAGATGCCAAAAAGCAAACAAAGCCACTGGGAAGAGATTTGGTTTGCTTATGAAGATCCAAGAGCCTTCCAAACCATGGGACATCATCAACATGGACTGGGTTACATCTTTATCCCCAGGAGGAGCTGCTAGCTTTAATGCGTGCCTAGTAATTGTAGACAGGTATTCAAAATCCCCAATATTCATACCTTGCTTTAAAGAAGACTCAGCAATGGATACAGCCATTTTGTTTTGGAACAGAGCTATGCCAAGGACAGGGATTCCTAGAATTATTATATCAGACAGAGATCCAAAATTCACTTCTGAATTCTGGACGGGATTGCACAGTATGCTGGGAACTAAGCTTTCCTTTTCCACAGCATACCATCCCCAAACCGACGGACTAGCAGAAAGGATGATCCAAACTCTGGAGGATATGGTCAGGAGATTCTGTGCATATGGGCTAGAATTCAAAGACAATGATGGGTACACACATGATTGGGTTTCTTTATTACCAATTCTTGAGTTAGCCTACAGCACCAGTATACACTCCACCACTGGAAAAGCGCCGGCCATTCTAGAGAAAGGTTGGATGCCAAATCTACCCAGGAATTTCCTCAAGAAGGATGCAGTAGATATTCATCCCACTGCGCTCACTTACGCCAAGATC